CTGTGCATCCAAACAGTGTTGGACGTAGCATGGGAGAGCTTGTATCCATCCTTGTTTTAGGACTGCTTCACCCACTGTGTTATCACCCACTAAGACTTGGAGGTGACGTAAAAACTGTGACGGCGACCGATCACCTAGTGTTTCACCTTGAAAAAGTCTTTGGATTCTTTGACTATCTGATAATGATAAACGGTTCATTATCTCTCGTCTTAAGATGGTGTATGGTTGTGGTGATGGTGGACTTAAAATCAAGTCACGGACTTCTTTGGCGACTGAAGGAGGAAGGATAGAACACAAGTCTCTATAGCGAATCCCTTCAGATTTGATATTGTGTCTCGTGAAATAATGCTCTAGTTGAGCAAACCACAACTCAGGATCACTACGATCAAATTCTGGAAGTCGGGATTTCGTAGTCATAACAGTGTCTATCTCCACTGGTGACAAATCCTCCAGATTATGGGTTTCTATTGAGTCTGACATGAGGTATGCGACAAATATAGCAATAAAGTTAGCACAAAAAGTGGTTACTATAACACGAATAACTTAAGATAATACGGAATAAACTAGTTATATACTCAAATTAGTTTACGGATAATCAGGTCTACTTTTATGATTAAGTAAAAAAAAATGTTAATAACAGAAATGAGGTTAAATTTGTGTTCAAAAAGGGCTCACCAGTTTCGTGCCTTATGGTAACCCTCGTGCTATTGATAGAAGAAACCAGAGAAGTAGTGAATAGGTCTCTATTTCGATCTTCGCGCGGTGACAGTGGAGCATGGGATTATCTATTCAGACAAACAAAGGCTCTCAACATTCAATATAAGATAATAGGGAATATAACGCTTATACAAAACAAGGAAGTGAGTGAATACTTGAACAATACTGTTTTGGCATATGCTTGGTTGTTTGGGGTCAACTCTGAACCAACCAACCTTAGCTGTTACAGATTAATCCACCCTTGTGTTGCTTGGACTGTACATTTTTTGACTGCGAATTGAAGCACACTTCCAGAACACTGCGTCGTAATAAGTGATTCTTAATAGCTTTGCTAATTTTATAGAGTTAATTATCAAACTAAATTTGTCATAAGTAATCGGAGTTTGATAACGCCTTAACCAGAAACACCTTTATAATCAAAGTATGTCAACTCAATCATCATAAGTGGAGTTCGAGGTTATATTTGGAAGGCTATTGGTATGTCGAAGGAACGTTTGGTCTAAGCTGGCTAGTTGTTCAAAGGGATTCGTAGAATGGCGTACCCACTCGTAATCTGGTGTGGATGTGTGACCGAACGCCTTCAGCCAGGTGAGTTCAGTAAAACTAATGCGGTCAGCGTCAAATGTCGAAGACTTACAGAACTATTGATTTCGGGGGGATGTTTACCACTACAAACTTTTGAAAAAAATGTTTGTGATCTCTCCAGAAAGAACAGAATTATATACCTGCACCAATAGAAACATTTATTTGTTGAAATTGTTAACTATACTATGTCTTTTACCAGTTTATCTACTTAAAGCAATTTATATATGATTAGTTAGTGAATAAATTTGATGCAGTTTTGTTCTCTGAGTTGGATGGTTTGGTCGTGAAGCGTTCGAGTTTCTCCATAAATCACAGCTTGTCCTGTACACCTCGATGTTGACTGGTTCTTGTTGACCTTAAATCTTCTCCACTATTGAATAACTGGATGATGATATTTGTTTAGGTAATAATGTGCATTTAAACTGATAACAATTAATAGAATCATTCCCTACCCAAACACTTGTTTTAAATTTCGAATGGGCAAGAGCATGGGTGTCTGAACCGACCTCCACAGTTAATTCCAAACCACTTTAGTTTGGAAATAACAAAATGGATATCTAAATATTTTGTCGATACTGTCATTCGATTTCGAGACTGAGTAAACAACACATTTTGCATTCCATTTCAAGATTAAGAAATCATAACTATCTGGTTTCTTCAAAATGATTAGAACTGTTTAACAAATAATTAGAACACGCATCTGCTTGGGACTTAAACCAAGTTCTCACAACTACTTAAATTAATCGATGATACACTATTATTTCTCAAAATGACATTATTAAGACGCGAGAGAAACTAACATATTAATGTCATTACTAGATAATCCTTAACTTACGAAGTGATCTTCGGTTTTCACACACTTGCTATTTAGTATCTCTCCAACTTGTTCGATAAAGATGGACAAAATTTTCGTCTTATTTAATATAATCGGCTATTAGAGTAATTTGACTCTTAATTGTTCTCGAACCCTGGTGACCAGAAAAGAAACAACACCAGTTTAGGTACAGATGGCTGTGAAAATGGTGGTAGTGACTTGAAACCTTACTGTGAAAAATACAGTGACATCCAAAGTTGGTAATAAACAGAACAAAACTAGATAAGTCTCCAGAAGTAGTGTTAAAATTCTTTCGATATCAGATGTACGTTGATAACAGAATATCAAGACTGAGTTGTATGACATACTACGAGAGGAAACATTGATATAGGGTTTTACCTGTGAAAGTGTCCAGTACATTGAGCAAACAATCCATCTCCCCTCAAGGTTCGAATCAACGTTGCTAAAATGTGATGGTGTACGGCTATCCACAAGATCAATGACTGCAAACAATACTGCTGTAGAGAAACTGACTAAAACTTGTGAAATATCACCATTGACCGAATTTCACCAACTACAGGATTTCATATGATTAATAAACTTAGCTATACATACCTGCATCAATTACCATAAGCTGTTTATGTTGTGAACTTTTTAATGCCTTTCTACACAACATTACCAACACTTCAAGAAGTGATCTATTTGGAGTATGTGGTGATCTTGTCTAGGAGGACAATGAAAGCTTCGTAACTAAACTATCCAGCTAAAAAAACACTTTCAAAAATCCTTCTAAGCTATAAAGATCCTCTTGAGTAGATGTCAACAACAATAACCTTAAGCATGTACATTTATAATCTTAGTAATGTTGAATACAGTTCAATGAAATAAAAATACACATGACAGATTGATAAATTAGTATACTAGAGCCCGTTTAATCAAATAGATTGTTGTGGGATGTCTCAGACTGTGGTATAGAGTGATATCCTCTGATAAGGCATGAAACATAGCTTAGACAGGATCTCATTTGGAACGAATTCAAGTAGTGAGACTACATAAATATGCTTTGATCTGATCGCTGATAACTGTCTCGATACGCAAACCCAGGTTGATATAGGATACCAAAAGGTGGAGCTCATCAAAACATTTTTCTATGTACAGTTATCAAAAATGAAAGTCACTTATCGATAGTTAAATTCTACTTCGTCTCAGCCTTCTTTTTTTTAAAATCTTGTTTGCTTTTAGTCAATTTTAATGTTTTAATTGAAGTTTTATTGATAACTTTTGATTTTTTCGGTTTTTCAGTACTGTTGGCAGATTTTTTCATTAGCTGTTTAGGTACTACATGGTTGTTAGTTTTCTTTTTTGTTGTCTTTGCTTTTTGTTGTTTCCTAGAAATTTTTAAAGATTTTGATAAATCAGTCATTTCGATATCAGAATTTCTTTCGAAATTCTGTCTATATTGACTCACTCTATCGCGACAGTCAGGTGTCATGTTCGTACGAACCACTGAACAATAAATTTGATCTGGGGATTGAATAATATATTTATTTTAAATAAGAAGAGGGTACGTAGAGTGACCAAGTCCGCATAGCCGAGCCACGCGTTATCTGTCGCCAAGGGGCTACTACCACCACTGCTACTCATTATAATCTTATGGTTATTGATAAGCTGAAAGATTATTCCGGAATAAAGCCACAGGAACTGGTTGGGAAATATGTTTTATTATTTCAAAGTTTTCAGGTTCATTTTCAACACATATACAGTATTTGAGTGTCAAAACAATTGGGTGGTTTAGTATCAACAACTCACAGTCACCCTAAAAACGATAGTTTCAACCAGGGAACAGCATAAAGGTATGCTACGTGTTCTCGCGCACATGTTATGTGTTATTAAGTATTTTGGATTTTGTTATATATCAGCCATTAACAGCGTTTTTGCCGTCACACGTCAATTTTCGCATTGTTATTGCTTGGTTCATGGCTTTTGTTCCAGTTTATTAGTAGCTTGACGTAGTTGCTGCCCACAATCTGGGTAAAAGTTTAGTCTGTCTAATGTGGTTAGTTGTATCAACTTAACCTCAAACAAGTGAAATCCGCTATTTATCAAGTCAGAAATAGATCACAATCACATTTTACAAAGCGAAAATGAGCTCTAAAACAATTAACATTCAGTTCACTTCGTTACTAAGGTGGTGATGAACACTTGTAAATATAGTGGCTTATTAAGTGTAGGTTGGGGCAGTTCTGCGTCAAACTATCTTTGAACATCGTGTACGTTTCTAGTATATAACCATAAACAGTTCTATCTACAACAAGTATCATCATTTTTGACGGAAGTGAGAGAGGAAAATTGTATGAGCAATAATTGACGTTGATAGCCATTTCTGCATACTTCTTGAACACATATAGCAGTCTTTTGAATTGCTGTAATCCAAATCTGAGTCTATTAAATAATTGAAATAAATGTATGGTTCATAACATAAGTCATTTTATGTTGAGATTTTACCTGACTATCAGAAGTAGGCGAAGATAAAACAAAGCTAGAACTACCTTGATATGTTAAAACAAAGTAAGGAGTTTATATGTGCGATAATAAAACCATACAAACGGTTACAAGGTTAGTTGGGATAGGTAAAGATAGTGCCGTTTACGTAAAGTGTCATGTGAATGAAATGTCCCAAATCAAAAATTTTGGCTGAGCTTCAGCCCATAAGAATAAATACGCATGTATAAATGGTCTAGTCATTTTAAATTATTATTAACCAAATGGAATGTCCGCTTTATATTCGTATCACTCTGAATGTTTGATTTGACAGTGTATTATCTCAGATATTTCAAAATACTCGTCATTTTAATGATACTCAAACACTATTTTGTTTGAAACAGTGAAAGCGAGTTCTTGCTGTGATATCAATTCAAGACATTTGGCGGGTTGGTGGTTTTTTTAATTGTTCTTACTTTGTTTTCTCGTACCATGACGTCAGGTTTATCTATCTTGACTTACTAGGTTTTATCACCCTATTATAATGCATCGGCAGTTATTCTCCATAGTTTACAAGGCGGAAAACCAGCATGAGTACTTAATAGCCTTCTGACGAACTAATTAAAACCAGATAGTTTCGGCGAGACTATAATTATAAAGACCTTCTCACATTACTGAAACCTACATACCAAACTCTTTCAGAATTATAGGGTAGAAATAGGGTTATTAATTAGTTTGGGATGGTGGGAATGGGAGTTTGGGTTAGATATAGGTGTTACTATTTACGTTCCTGGTTTTCATTACTGAGATCACCTTTGGTGCCAAAATGCTAATTAGTCATCCGGATAAATTAAGCCTGCGTCAAAGCTTGGAACCCGCTGTCTGATATCTGATCTGGTTGTCTAAAAGTTATAACCTCATTAATGATTCCTTTACTCTCTCAGTTGATTATTACGGTATGGTTCCAGGTCTTTAGCGTTGTGATGGCTGTTTGTTGGTAACCTTAAGAAGCATCAGCTCTAGAAAACTCATTTTAGAAAGCTAACCCACAAATTATCAGGCAACTTACAGATTCGGTATGAAGACCGTGTTGTACGTAAACACTCAACTAACGAATTTGTTTTGAATCATTGTCTTCTGTTGCTATTCAGCGTTCTTGTTAGAAACTTCCACACTGTTCCCCTCCGCAACATGGGTTAAACGTATGCATCTAGGTAATCAATCAATTTAAGGTACCGCCTCGTATAATTTTGCGCATAATTAAGAGTGTAGTTTTAATCCGATTGTATGTTATGATTAGCCAATTGAAGAATAGCTATATTTGGTTACTAGAATGCTACGACGCAATATGGCAGTAAACACGGCATGATACGTAAGCTAAATCACAAGGAACACTTACCGATGCAAATTGTTTATTAAAGTATTTGATTCGATTCATTGTAACCAGATAGCATTTCTCTCACCTTAATTCCTGTCTCTAAATTCGTCCCGATTTTTTATAAGTTTGCGAACAAATGGGTTGGGAAGCATCATTGCATTATAGCTTATGTCAGTTCTGGATGTGGACCTTTATCCTAATCCGTAATCTTGACATACAACCCTAACATCCAACCCAAACCCTTATACATCATAGCTGTTGTTAAATGATGACATGGTTATAACCCTGATTCGAAACACTTCTCAGACTTCTAGTGTGTAAATTCAACCTTTTTCTTCTACTATAATGAATAACTTAACATGTGAAGAGTAATCTATCATTCCAAAACCACTATTCCACTTATTCTATTGCTTTTTACCGTTAATCGTCTTATAACTCGGCGGCGTTTTCCGAGTGGCTGGTTAGTCGCTATTTTATTATTTATTTATTTGAACACATAAATATTGGTACAAGAGAGCGCCAATATATATGCGCCACACAAAACAATGGGAATTCGAAGAGAAGTAGAAAGAAAAAAAAAAAAAACTAAGGAACGCAAAAGAAAAAGAGAGTAATGACGAAGAGGTACAATCAGAAGAAATCTTTCAGGTAAAGGAGACACAACCACTTTTTATGAAGAAAGTAAAAGAAGGTTACAGCAGGATCGCCACTGGCTTCTATTCTGAGCCATATCTGATAACGTCTCTAGCCACTGTGTTGCACCATCTCTCGGACCCCAGCCAGGGAGTCGTGAAGGACCAACACAAGCCAGTCCTTTGCAGCTTTCTTTCATGCCACGACACCATGTCATGCACTGACCACCTCTCCGCTTCTTCCAACCAGTCCCAGAGTCGGCAAATAATGCACGACGTGGAATTCTCTGGGACGACATTCGGAGAACATGTCCAAGCCACCGAAGTCGGTGTTTCAAGATGGTGACACCAATTGAGTTATCATCTCTGTGCCCGAACACACGATGCCGAACCTCTGCATTACTAACATGGTGTTGCCACTGAATGTCAGCAATCCTTCGGAGACAGCGATGATCAAACACAGAGAGTCGTCTAACGTCCTCAACTCGGAGAGGCCAGGTTTCACAAGCATAGAGCAAAACTGCTCTCACCGACGCGTTGTAGATCCGGCCTTTTACAGCCAGACTGACATCACGAAGGCGCCAAAGGTGGCCCAGATTGGCATAAGCCGCTCTGGCTTTCACTATTCGTGCATTGATCTCATCACTCACACCCCCACCAGCACTTATGCAGCTACCCAGATACACGAACTTCTCAACTACGTCTATCTGCTCACCATCCAGGGTGAGTACAGGATTGGGATCCTGCCAGTCTTGTAGAAGTACTTTGCACTTCGAAGGTGCAAAGCACATACCATACCTACGGACATTGATTGCCAACTGATTAAGTGCGGATTGCATGCCTTGGGCATTATCGCACAGTAAGACAATATCGTCCGCATACTCAAGGTCGAGAAGTCTTTCTCCAGGCAACAGATCCACACCACCATTACTTACATTCATCAGAGCTGTTTCCAGAATGTCATCGATGGCAAAGTTGAAGAGGAATGGTGAGATTGGGCAACCCTGCCTAACCCCACTGCTCGAATGGAACAATGGAGAGAGGTGGTTGTATGCCCTCACTCTGCCTGAGGTGTTTTTATACAGGGCTTTTAGGATGTTAATAAACTTCTCAGGCACACCCTTCTTCAATAGACAATCCCAGAGAACAGTCCTATCCAACGAATCGAAGGCAGCCCTGATGTCAAGAAACACAACGATTGTTGGCCTTTGAAAAGTATGGCGGTGTTCTAACATTTGGCGGAGGGTGAAGATATGATCAATACATCCTCGACCAGAACGAAACCCAGCCTGCTCCTCGCGAGTCAATCTTTCTCGGGTTTTGAACAACCTACGAAGAATGACGGAAGCCAATAGCTTGGACGCAATCGGAAGTAAACTTATCCCCCGATAGTTGTTACAAGAACGACGTGAACCCTTTTTAAAGATAGGGACAACTATCGACTCATTCCATGACGTTGGTACACTCTCTAGATCCCAAACCTTTGTAAACAACGTCGTCAATTCCTTAGTCAAAAAGTCACCACCATCTTTAAAAAGAGCCGGAGGTAAGTCATCTGGGCCAGGTGATTTGTAACGCTTCAAGAGTTGGAGTTCCTTGCGGACTTCCTCCTCATTTGGTGGATCAGTCGTCACCGGCCATGGAGGGCAGGACAGTCTGACCGATGTTACCGGAGCAGCAGGCCAGTTGAACTGCCCTTCGAAAAATTCTGCCCATCGTCCAAGACGTCGATGGATGTTAGTGATTGGCATCCCATCATCCTCGCAGATTGTTTCACTCACACCAGACTTCTTGCTGCCAGTGGCTCGGATGAGTTGGAAGAGCTTCCGGTAGTTACCAGATGCAGCTGCTGCTTCCAGCTCATTAGCACGCATCGACCACCAGGCTTCTCGGTCCTTACGCAAGCTTTGCCCGATTTCCTTACGTAAAAACCTTCGTTTATGGTCAAACTCACGGTTACCCGGAGTAGACCGACGGGCTTCAATGAGTTGTAAGGAACCAGAAGAAACCCAGTGCTTAAAAGCGGGACGTTTCGCAAACCCACAACTGACTGTACCCGCCATTTTCATGGCGTCATGCAATTGCAACCAATGCTCATCTATACTTTTCGGTGGAGTGGTAGCTAGCCTAGAGGCTAGCTCGGTTCGATACTTACTTGCAACAGAAGTTGCAACCAGCTTGCTAACATCAATCCGTTGATGGCGTTCACTTCGTTGTCCACTGAAAAGTAAGGCAAGATTGGCGCAGACCAAGGCGTGGTCAGAGTCCAGATAGGTACTCCAAAAGGAGCGGCAGTCTTGTACACAACCACGCCAGCGGTAGCTGATCGCGATGTGATCAATCTGAGTCCAGGCTTGAGATGCAGAGGGAGGACGCCAGGTGGCACATCGGCGATGACTGTGCCGAAAGTTAGTGCTAGCCAGAAACAGGTTGTGGTCTGCGCAAAGTTGCAGTAGACGGTCCCCGTTATCTGACCTGCGACCAACGAGTCCCCATCGGCCACCTAAACGACTCTCTTCTGTGCCTAGACGCCCGACCTGAGCATTCAAGTCTCCGGCTAGTACTACAATATCTGTCGAACGCACTTTCTGGAGAAGAACTGATAACTGGTGGTAAAACTCATCCTTGATTGCATCCGGGCTGCAATCTGTCGGGGCATAGGCGGAGATGACGAAAAGACATCGTTTCTCACGCCGATTTCTTCTCACTTTGGTGGAACTTTCTAATCTAACAGCACATAACCGACTGTTAATGGGGATCCAATCGACTAGTGCTGCCTCAGCTCTAGCGCTTAGTGCGACACCAACGCCAGCAAAACCAGACGAAGATGCCACAGGGTCCCCGGATAAGCGCACGTAAAACAAGCTTTTCGAAGCGACAGATGGAGATCGAATTTGTAGTACTTCGCCAGAGTCTTGAATACGGGTCTCGGATAGACAACACACGTCGATATTAAGACTTTCCAAAGACATAGCCAGCCCTATCTGTTGTCCGACCTGCATAAATGTGCGAACGTTGAAGGCAGCCAGTTTGAATGATGCACGTGGTTTCAGAAAATCTGCTTCAGTCCTCGTATTCGGTGGTAACATACAATTTTCAACCGGACAGTGACTCGAGAACGTTTAGATACAGTCGGAATTCCACCAAAGACGAGCCGCTGTATAAGTATAAAAGAAGGTGAATAATGTGGAAAATAATAATAATAATGATAATAATAACAATAATGACAATAATAGTAGTAATAATAATATTAGTATTAATAATGACAATAATTGAAGTGATCATAATTTGAATCAATTGATTGTTTTTCAAAGCGACAAAAGTAGTTTCTATAGACATAAACAGTTCATCATTTGTGTGTGGGCTGTGATACTGCCCGGGTGCCCAAACCGAAGCAGGTGGTTATCTTAGGGGGCCACTCCCCGAGCCTTTGACCTAA